TACACAATAAATTTTGAAAATATTTCTATTAAACTTTCCTTTCTACTTTAATTTAGAAGATTCTGTTTTTTGTTTAGTTAATAAATTTGATAATGAGTGATAAAAATTACAGAACCTTTATGTTTTAATTAATAAAGTATTTTAGTGAAATACACAATCATATTTAAGATTAAGTACTTGTGTATTAAATATGTTTGAATAGAATTTGAAATATGTTTCATAAATTTATTGCAATACTATTTTAAACATAATTTTAGTTAAGAATAAAATAATTCTAAAATAAATTATAAACTTGTAAATGATAAAGTATTTATGTTTTTAATTGTATATTCACTTTTTCAATTGATTTTCACAAAATTCTAGATTTAGAAAAGAAGAATACCCTTTTAATTTTTTGTCCATTAATCATTAGGATAAATCTTTAATTTTCTTTCGTAATATATCAGAGCTTCTTCATATTTCTCTTAATCTTGTAAGCAATTACCTTAATATAACTTAAATTATACCTATGTAACCAAGACTAAAGGTATGGTTAGGATTGATGGACAATGCTTGATTGAGAAATTTTAAAGATTCATCATATTATTTTAGAGATTTTAAACAATAACCTATTAATATAAAGATGATTAAATCTACCTTTATAACTTAAGGATATAACATGTTTGGGTTCAATAGCTAATGCTTTATCCAACCAAGTAATTGCATCTTCAAATTTATTTAACGTCGTTAAACATAAACCTATTTATATAAAGATATTAAATCCACCTTTAGAACTTAATGAATCCACATGTTTGGTGTCAATAGCTAATGCTTTGTCCAACTAAGTGATAGCATTTTCATATTTATTTAACCAAATTAGACACTACCCTATAAAATTAGCTTATTTTCACCTTTGTAATATAAAGATTCCTTATTATTAGGATTTATTTAAATTGATTTATCTAATAGTTCTATGGCCTCGTTATGCTTTTTCTTTATATATAACTGTAAACCTAAAATATAAATAATTATTAAATAAATACTCTATTAATATAGATCTTCAGATAATTTTATATCATGTTCATCAACTTAATAATAATTAAATGATGATAATTATAATTATTAATATAAATTATTAAATGAATGAGTTAATTTCTTAGTTTATTCTTCAATTATTTTGAAAATAGATTATTTATATTCATTTAATTAGATAGTTGAATTCAAATAATCATTAATTTAACAAGAATTCAAATTAACTAATCTTTCTTTTAATAATGAATATTTATTTCTGATTCCTCTTTTTAATTAAGAAAATGATTAATTTACATTTTCTACACATTTATTAAGATCATCAATTAAATTATCACAATCTTTATTATTATTTTCAAGGAATTAAATCAAAGTGTTTACTTTTTTGACATCATTTATATGATTATTATGGATTCCCTTTTTAAAACATTCAAAACATTATAATCGAAATCCTGTACAAAACTAATCATAACAAATAAAATCAATCTCTTCCTTATGCTCATCTACTTAACATTTTAACTTTAAATTGCCTTATTAAATCATTTTTTTAATATTTTATATTGAATTATTACATTAATACATAAGTATTTAAATTATCTGAAATTCTATAAAAATAAATTTTATTCAATATTATATAAATTGTAGATTTATTGAACAGAATTCAACTCCTCTATTACTTGAGATAAATTTGCCTTCAATTCAAAACCTATTATTTTTAAACTTGATTATTATTATCATAACCTTTCATTACTATAGACTTTGGATTTTAAAATTTAAATTACAATTAATAAACATACTTAGATTGTCATAGTAATTAATTATCGTAATTATCTAAAATAAATATTATATTTTGTGATGATCATTGTGATGAAAAAAAAAATAACTTTCATAATTGGTTAAATTGACTAATCCTCTTAGTGCTTAATAAGTGTATTTAAATTTTTTCAAAGTTTTCGTGCTCTAAATTCCTTATTATTTTTTCTTTCAAGATAATTATAAACTTTTTTCTTATCATTTATGATATTTATGATGTTATTTATCTCAAAATATTAAAATTATTCCCTTTGTTAAATTGAATCTTACAGGTAAGCTTGCATGACAGTAATATTGCAGAGCATAGATCGTCTGAAAAACTTTTCAAAAATTTTAATCTAAAATGGACAAAATTAATTATGAAATATGAAATAACCTCTTTCTATTAGTTAATTTTACAAATTAATTGCCGCACTAATTACTTCTACTGATATATTTTAATTGAAAATGGATTGATAAATTTACCAAAATTTCATCCAACAACAAAAATTGATTGTTTTGATAGCGAAAATATTGAATAGGTCAAAACACTGGTCACTAATCAAATGAGAAATAAAAATACTAATAACAATTTTTTTGGAAGAAGATTTGAATTTGACTTGATTATCAAAAAGATAATGGTAAATATTTAAATATCTTCTATTTAACTTCCTTCTTCATAAATAAAAGGATAATAATACTTGAGAAAAAACAAAAGTTAAATCTAAATGCAAAATTGCTTGATCTAAAGATGATTGAGGTAATTAATAACTCTGAATTTTCTTTTTAAGTGATATTTTATGGCTTATGAGCCCTATTCTTTTAATAAAAATAAGTAATTTAAATTTATACTGAAAAGATTAAAAATAAGGATATTTTACCAATAGCCTTCCGCTATATTTAATAAGTGATTATAATCCAAAAATGTGTAAATTCAAAATGAATTTAATTTAAATAATATGTAAATTAAAAACTTATTCAACTGTTTCTTTTATCATCAATTATTTTAATTTATGATTTATATTTAAATATAAAGTTAGAATATTGTATTCTTGGAATAAAGAATGGAGATTTTACTTTTGAATCAATTTTAGTAGAAGTAGAAATATGAAATAATTTAAAAACTAAGTCATCATTACACTATTAAACAGGCTTATATCCACAAAATTATGAAGAGAAGGGTATCTAAATGATATTAAAGCTTTAAAACAATGCTATAAGATACATCCTCCTTAGAATTATTTAAGTCTGAAATTCATAAGAATGAAAAATTTACAATATTTATTCCAGATATTTATTAAGGCCGAATTAATAATTTTGTAATTACAACTAATTCCTTAATCTTTTTGAATGAACCTTTTCAATTCAAAAAGAGTTTAACCTTGTAGTCTAAATAAATCTAATTTTTGTAATAAATAACGCAAGATTTAATGCTAAGTAGTAAGATAAATATTTTCAACGATTAAGATAAAAAAATTAAGTTTTTAGAACTTATCAATATTTTTTCTTACATAAAAACAATTTTCATAATCTTGATAAAAATAAAATTCTTATCTATTATTATTAAAAACAGAAAACAATCTAATAAATTTATTATTCAAATGCTCTAAAATAAATGAAGAAAAATCTAATGTATTGTTATAGAATCTTATCGAAAAATTAAAAAAAACTTATTACTGCAAATATAATGAGAACAGTAAATCAAATAAAGATAAAAATGAATTTAAGCAGGCTTTTATTTATTTGAAGATTTCAATTTTATTTAATTATAAATACCTGGTATCATAATGAATGCCATTTATTTTGAAGAATCAAAGGATCAATATTAAATATTATAATAAAACAACAAAACTCAATTAATTTACTCAATCAATTTAAATTAGAAAAGCATATTATAATCTTAATCTATTTCTATATAAGTTTATCCATAATTGATTAATTACAAAAAATTCTATTTTATTTAAATTATATTTACCTCATACTTTTAATTATAATTTAATATTATTCTTATTTATTTTATTTAATATTAAATCAGTATAATAATTATGTTTAATCCAAATTATAAAAGTCTATTAGAAATGTGATTCTTTAACTCCAAAAATGAAATACTCAAAATATATTATTATGATATAATCTTTTTTATTGAAAAGAAACTAATTACTATTAGAAAAACGTTTATTATTATTCAAAAATTTAAAAATTAGATAAAATGAAAATGAATAAATATATATTGTCGAAATTCTCTAGA